TAAAATTGGTGAATTTTCTTATATTCCAATTATACCTTACTAAAGCTGACTTTTTAAAAATAAGATGCCCAAAGCTGTGCAGGAACTTTGGGCAGACAATGCAAAAAGCTAGAAGTCAGCAAGCTATTAGAGGGCATAATTTTTCTTCTTCTCTCAGGTGGTGTGTCTTTTTTTTTATCTTTTTATCAGTACCAGGGATCAAACTCATGACTGCCTGCTTACAAGGCAGGTGCCTATGCCACTGAACTAAATTTCCAGCCCCAATGGTGGTCTATCTTTTTCACGCCCTTGTCTCTAGCCCAGTAGAGACGTTTATAAACTTTTTTCATGGTTATTTATTTTTATTTATTTATTGATCTATTGAGACAGATTCTCATTACACAGTTCAGGCGGGTCTTGAACTCACTATATAGCTGAGGCTGACTTTGCACTTACAATAATTCTCCTGCCTCAGCCTCCTGAGTGCTGGGATTATAGGCACACGCCCCCATGCCTGGATTACAAAAAAAAATTTTTTATAAAGCAGCTAATACCTCTTTTCAAACAAACTTTTCTGCAGAACTTCACTGAAACAAATAAATGCCATAGAGTGTCTTATTCTGATGCATTTACATTTTAAGTTCAATGTCATGACGTCTTTGTGTTATATAATCCTTCTGTGTTAAGAAGCCTGGTTTGATGAACTCAGGAATTTTATATGTAGGACATATTATGTATATAGTTTTAAGCTGCTGTTTAAAGATGGTTAATGCTATAATTAAGGTTTCTAGGTAAAAACGATAAAATTGAATATATGCATCTAAATTTATCCTACTGACAATCCACTAAAACTACAGTAAAGATTTTTTTACAGGCATAAATTCACAAGGAAAAGGCAAAAGGAAAGGAGAGAAAAGTGACATGTTTTAAAAGTCTGGAAAGCAGACAGATGAACAGTTATTGACTCAGGCCAGGAAGGACAACTAACTGCCAAGCACTAGCAGGGTAACTGTGTATAAGACGGCCGGCTCTCCTAGAGGGGGGCAACCTCCACCGAGGCTCACGCCAGGCACTGTGCAGAAAAGCTCAGGAGCAACAAAGCCACTCACGGACCAGGGGAGGGGGCACAGAAGCAGCTTTTTGGTGACCTTCCCTTAAGTGTGAGTAGACAATCAAAGATTATGAGAATTCCAAGAAGAGAATCTAACATGAAAGACGAGACCAAAATAATAGAAAAAGAAATTTGGAACAACATTATACAGAAAGAAGAAAAATTAAATCTTTTAATAATAGCTTCCAAGATAAAAAGCTAGAACAACCTGAAACAAAATAAAGTGCTATAAAAATAAAGCAAGAGTGATACAGCCTTGCTTTATTTTTATAGCACCTTATTTAAAATATAGAAAAATATGAAAGAATGGAAAGATAAAGCTGAGGAAGTCTCCCACAAAATAACATAAAAAGCTGTAAAGTTGGAGAGTAAAGTAAGAAATTACAAGTACTAGTCCAGTGGGTCTATCATCCACATTTGAGGAATTCCAAAAAACAAAGAACAGAGAAAATGGGAGGAAGTAGACCCTCAGTGGAATGATCCAAGATTACTTCCTGGTGGGGGTTATAAATCTCTGGTAGACCACTTTCCTACCTGGGTTTAACCCTAGCAACACACACACACACACACACACACACACACACACACACACACACGCTATTACAGAATTAAATTAAATCTGGAAGATGGGAGTTAGAAACTATATATAAGTGGTGGGGAGGGAGAAGGGGAAGGAACTAAATCCTCAAATCTGTCCCTATTATATTTGTAGGGGCTGAGGCAAGTCTCCAAAAAAGACTCACATACTAAATATTCCAATGTTATGAAGTGAACTAACAAATTATTAAGTAAAATATGTTCTAAATTCCCAAGTTCACAAAAATCTATAGGCATAAGGAATTCGAAGGCTAGGTACTAAATTAGACCTTTTGGACTCTTTAGAATTGTGTACTAGAAAATAGTAGTCTCTGCATCCTGACTCTTGCCTGAACCCTGACACTTTTGATCTTGGCTTTGTTCTTTTTTTTTATTTTTTATTTTTTTTTTTATCGGTACCGGGGATCGAACTCACGACTGCCTGCTTCTCACGACTGCCTGCTTCTCACGACTGCCTGCTTCTCACGACTGCCTGCTTGCAAGGCAGGCGCTTATGCCGCTGAGCTAAATCCCCAGCCCCCTTTGGCTTTGTTCTTTACATTGAGAGAGTCTCATACTGGGGGCCACAGACACCTAGTTATACCCAAGCCCCTTTCAGTAAACAGTTGCCCTGTGGCTACTCCTTAAGCCCAAGATGTCCACAACATCAGCAAGGTCTCCCTGGGGAGCTGTGATCCAAGTAGAAGCTGTTATGGTCCTAGACACAAGCTAGGCAGGGAATTTCAGGGTTCCTGTATGCAGAATATGTTCTACAAGGAGGTAAGCAGGCTCTGGATGGAATTCTCATTGGGTTATACTCAGCCTGTGGGGAGAGGCATAACTGGGGAGATCCAGAGATAATGAAAGTCAGTGCCAAAAGTGACAGCTGAAAGAGCTGAGACTGAGTCCCTCTAGAGAGGGGAAATTAAGGAGGGCAGGGGTCTGCTGTTTATCTTAACATTTCTCATACCATTATTTCCCTCTTTAAAATACATGGCTGTGTTCTAATATTTCACATACACAAAAGACAAGAAATAGGGTTAGGAGTATAAATCAGTGGTAGAGTGTAATGACACTGATACACACAAAGACACACACATGGGCACACCCCCTCCCCTTAAAATGTGTTTATAAAAGTTTATGGAGGCTAGGCATGGTGGTGCACACCTGTAATCCCAGCACTCAGGAGGCTGAGGCAGGAGACTGTAAGTGCAAAGTCAGCCTCAGCTACATAGTAAGGCCAGCCTGAACTACATAGTGAAAGTCTGTCTCAAAAAACAAAACAAGGCTGGGGATTTAGCTCAGCGTCATAAGCGCCTGCCTTGCAAGCAGGCAGTCATGAGTTCAATCCCCGGTACCAATAAAAAGGAAAAAGACCAAAAAAAAAAAAAAAAGCAAAACACAACAAAACAACCAAAAACTTTTATGGAGGCCTGGTGTGGTAGCACTCATCAGTAGTCATAGCTACTCTGGAGGCTGAGGCAAGATTGCTTGAGGCCATTTTGAGGCCAGCTTGGGCAACAAAGACCCTGTTTCAAATAATAGAAGATACTTTATGGAACCTCTGAACCACTTCTGCTATACCTGAGTTCTCAGTAATAAAGTTTGTAAACCACAGGACTGGGCCTTCATTTGAGGCTATCTAGATACTTTTGTGATTTAAAACCACAGTGAGTTTTCTCTCTGTAGTGGCCTCTAAAGTGAACCCCACTTCGTTTTCCTCCCACTTGTCACCTTTAATTCAGGACTTTGAGTTGGATGTTTTCTCACTTCTCCCCTGCTAGACTCTAAATTCCTTGCAGTCAGGGACCTGACTTAGAGTTCTTTGAGTTAAGGAACCTGGCACAGAGAACAGGCTGAGGTTAAGTGTTGATGAATAGAGGAAACAAGGTTTGGCGCGAAGGTACTCAATTCTTTTCTGGGTCTCTTGCCTGGAGCTTTGTAAGTTGTTAGCCAGAGACCTTAGGCTTGATTTGTTAAATAGTTTGGGGTTACAATTCTTATCTGCACAACATATTTATCTCATTTTCTTTATTCCCATAAAAGACCACGTACCTACTTTCTTCAGCTCACTACATGGTGGATGCCAGATTTATATATTTATTTTTTATTTTTTGGTTTCTGGTGTCGGGGCTCAGACTCACGATCTTGCACTTGTCAGGCAGGCGCTTACACCAATAAGCTAAATCCCCATCCTATGTATTTAGTTTGTCTTTTTGAGGCAAGGTCTGACTATGCAGTTCAGAAGCTTACTTTGTAGTCTAGGCTGGTCCTGAAGTCATAACGATCCTCCTGCCTCAGCCTCCCAAATGCTGATATTACAGGCGTAAGCTCCCACGCCCAGCTACTAGATTTTAAAAATAACTTCAGCATTAAGTGAGAAGTACCTGTTCAGTCTGAAGATGGATTTGTTGTTATTGTTATGCTTAGTGCCTGGAACAGGTGCTCAGTAAGTTCTTGAGTTAACTAACATTAGAGTGGTAAATTTAAAATTTTTCAAATGCTTTGTAAAGTGAAAACGTGCCCAGTATACAGAACGAACGCTTCGTCCCATATCCGGTCCTCGTCCAGAACGCGGCGCCCTTCAGTGTAGCGCAAGCAAGCCCACTGGGAAGCAGGAGCCCGCCGAGCTACAGAGGCGCGAGGGCAGCGAGGACCGGGGACAGCGCTCGGCGAAGCTCGGCGCAACCCAGCGCCCGCCGGCCGTCAATCAGAGGCCAGAGCACACGCGCCCCACCCCCGGAGGGCGGGCCCCGGACCCAGCGAAGACATGGGGGTGGGGCCTGGCTCTCCGCGCCGAGGGGGGGCAGGGTTGGAGGGGGTAGGGCGGGGTGGGGGCGGAGCCCGGCCTGGGCACACCGGCCCGGTTGTGAGTCCCGTTCGTCGGCGGGATACACCGGAGTCCCGGCCACGAAGGGGTGCGACCCCCACTAGCCCCGCCCTCTCGGCTGCCACCTAGCCAATCAGAACAGCTTTTACTGGCGAGTGGGCCGAGCCGGCTCAGCTGCTCGGAGGCTCTGGCATGGTAACGTCCCCGTGCGGGGGTGGAAGGGCCCGGGGAAGTCCCACAGCGCCCCCTGTGGCCCGGGCTGGGGGCGGGGGCACGGGAAGGCCACCGGGGGTACCCGGGACTCCGGGGAGGCCGCGGGGAATGAGGCGCGAGGAAGCGGAGCCCAGGAGAGGGGTGGGGGCGGGGATTTGGGGGAGAAGGGGTGGGGGAGGCCATGATGGAGCTTGGTGTCTCCGGGGTCTGTGGCAGGAGGCTGTGGAGGACGGGAGTTACTGGGACTGGTTGAGTCGGAGGGCGGGAAGAAGTGAAGGGTGGGTTTATGGAGAAAGGTCAAGAAAAAAGAGAGGCAGGAGAGGAGACTACCACGGGAAAGGCTGGAGTTGGGGACCACGTTTTCCCTGTGGGGTATTTGGTGTTCACCATGCCCCTTGCCCCAGACCCAGCACTTGTTCTCTTTGGAAGCTCTGGGTGCCCCTTTGGACCGCTAGGGGACTCTGGGGTGTCCTTTTCTCGAATTTTCGAGATCTTGTCTCCTGAGGGGAAAAAGGGGATTCTGAGGGAAGAGGGGTTCCTGGCCCTCATCCCAGTGCTGAGTAGTCCAAGAAGTAGGATAGAGTCCCCCAGGTTCCAGCCTTGGTTCTGCCATCATCGAACTACTAACTCTTGTGTGACCTTGGGCAAGTCACTGCCTTCCTTAGGGCCTTGGATTTCTTGACTTAAATTTTAGAAAGGAAAATTGATGAAAATAATCTTCTAGATGGCTTCCAGCCTCAAAGTGGGGCGTGTTTTGGAAAGAAAATTATGGCGAATGGTTCTAGGCTACGGGGAAGCCTAAGATACAAGCAAGGCCTTTGCCTGGGCTGGAGAAAATCCCCAGGGATGTGGGAGGAGGGGAGACAGAAAGCCTGCATTGCCTACGCCACCTCCTAGCATCCTGTGCGAGGGACACAAGTCTGTAAGTAGATTTGAGCCTTGACTCAAGAAAGATGAGGACCAAAGTGGTGATGTATTCCTCAGGAGAGTGAGAAGGTGGTGGGTGATGGAAGATCATAAAAGCAATGGGAACATATTTTCTAGAAGGGCCGGCCCCAGGCTCTTTGGAAGTAAGAGGAACAGTGGGGCCTGGTACAGGAGTGTGGGGACTAGGAAGATTTGGAGAGCAAGGAGAAAGGGGCTGGTGGTGGTTGGGGCAGCCAAAGAAGGTAGCAGATGATAGGCCACAGAGTAATTAGCTGTTCTGTTCAGCACTGTTGCTCTGTCTCTCTGCTGCAAATGGAATCCAGGACCTTGTTCATGTAGACAAGCGATTCATCACAGCCCTGGCCCTCAGCTGTTCCTTCTTAAGGATGGCTACCTCCTGAGAGGTGCGCCTTCTTGCCTTTGTTTGCCAACACATCCCTTCAAGGAGTGGGAGTGAGTCAGACCAGGCAGACCTTGGAATCTTCTGGCTCTCTGAGCATTTCAGGAGGTTTAGGGTAAAGAGAAAACAGGGTTGTGCATCTGAGTGCAAGAAATACCATCTGTGGTACCATTCTCCTTGCTGGAAGGCAGCTTTGTGCAGTAGATGAAAGCACAGGCTTTGGGGTCAGACTGCGTGGATTCCAAACCTGCCTCTGCCATTTAATTTCTTGGAACCTTGGTCAAGTAAGAAATTTAATCTCTCAGAACTTCAGCATCTTTGTCTATAAAAAGGGCATCATAACCCCTTATGATGGTTGCTAGGATTAAAAGTATTTGGCATGGTATTTGGTACATGATAGTGTTCAGTAAGCATTACCTATTAACTGTTGTTATTTTGTCTTTACATTCTCTTTCTCCATTCTTATGTTTTGCTCCTTTTGTCCTTTTTATGAATGCTCAGTTCTGAGATGCCACTTAGATGTGAAGGCCAAGAATTGATTATACCTTTGAGGTGGTGATGGTGGTAGGTTCTTTCCAGGGCCAAAGTGAACACATGATGATCAAGAGTCTTTTCATTGCCTCTCCCCAGCCCCTAAATGTTGTTTCTGTTCCTGGAAGACATGGAATCTGCTTCTTTTTAAGTTCCCATCCCCGTGACCCTTGCTTGAATTAGTTATTTCTCATATTCTTGCCCAGAAATGTAAGCAGACACATAGTTGTATTGGCATTGCAGCAAGTGGGAAAGGAACAGGTGTTTCGAAAAATAGAGGACACACATAGCATAGGGGAAGTTCCAGGAAGAGAAGCCTTTTTACATTCATCCCAAGGCTTTATTCTCTGTGGGGAACTGACTAAAACAGATCAGTGTCTAAATCCTGGTCAGAGATCTCCATCCTAAATTGAAGATGGTTTTCCCAGGTGGTACTTGGTTTAGTTTTCTTTTCCCAAGCAAGAAAGACCTCTGCCAAGTTACTTCTTTCTGCTTTGGCCTGTATTCAGAGAATTTAACTGAAGATATATTTCATTATGCAAAAATCTATTAAGGGGATGAGACTGCATTTTATCAAAGTACTTTGTGTGCAGGCCCTGACTAGGCACTGAAAAAAGGTTAAAAGGAAAAAAACAGTCTCTATGCAGGGAAATCCCCACCTGAGTGGGGAGACTAGTGCTCCCACATGAAACACCCAGCAAACCTTCACAAAATGCAGTGTTACTCTGCAAAGTAGCGTAGCAGGTATCCTAAAGGGGCACAGGTGTTTGTGGGAGATAGTGTAAAAGTAACCTGAAGGAGGTGAATATTGGATCATCTTGAACAAAGCAAGAAGCAAAACAGAATAAAAGAAACACTTGGGAATAACTTAACAATCCTATTCAAAGAGGACATGGGAAACTTGAGCCAAGATTGCAGGATGGGCTTTATTAAAAGACCTTGTTAGATGAGAGATTTTGTAGGGTAGACAATAGGAAACCACCCTTGGTTCTCAAGGAAGAAAGTGGTGGATCCTTGATGTTTTGACTGTTGGGTTGTAGGGAAGGTGAGTGTAAAAAAGATCTTCTTGTAGGACAAATTGTGCTTTTAAGGGACACAGGCTGCAGGGCAGTTTGGATCCAGTACTGGCTTTGTCCCTAACCAGCTGTGGAACCATGGGCATTATTATTCTTTTTCTCATGTGAAGAGAGGGGTCTACCTTGGTTGCCAGACCTCCCTGCAGCTCTGACATTCTGTGTTCCCTGAATACCATTGGAGCCTTACCAGTGGCCCCTACTGTCAACAGGGTAGTTTGTTTGTAGCACCTACGGGGCTCTTAGAGTTTAGTGGGGGCTGCAGATACTACATTTCCTTAATTCAGAGATTCATTTTAAGAATCTCATAGTTAGGATGCATCTTAAAATCAATGGGGTATTTTAATTTAATGAGAGCATTTGTTTTTTATTAGTGCCACATAAGATACAGTACTGTTAAAACTTGTACTTACTTAACTAAAATTCCAGTGGATAGTCACTGAAGAGAAGGTGTAAGTATTGCATGAACTTATAAAGGAGGGGTCTGACCCATACAGTGGGTTGGGAAAGGCTCTCCAAGGCAGGGTCTTGGTGGATGTGAAGTGCATGTAGGTAAGGTGGCAAGGTCGTCCTAGCACCTCCCTAAGGTTGGAGAGCTGATAAGATTCTTGTGGCTAGAGCATAGACTGGGAGCCAGGCTGGCAGGGTGGTTGGTAGCCAGCCTCCGTATATAGGCTCTGGGAGAGAGGGTTGGTGTTTAAGAACAGTAGGAAGTTATTGAAGAGGTTTAAGCAGGTAATGATCTGAGGTGCATTTTGAGGAGCTTGTCTGGCTATAGTTTGGAGTGGATGTGGGGAGAACAGTTGGGAGGCCACTGCAGTAGATCAGATGAAAAAATCTAGTGGCATGGGCAACAGGGGTGATGGAGTAAAAGAGGAAATGGAAAGACATAGATTGGAGTCTTGGAGGTGTGGAGTGACTCCTAGGTTTCTGTGGTATGGTGGTGCCAGTTTTGGAGATGACAATCCTGGGTCTGTTTAGATCTGAAGATGACTCTGGAAGGATAGAGATGCTTCTAAGGCAGCTTGAGGTGAGAGAATATGACCCAGAAAATTCTATCTCCCCAATATTGATGGCTTGCAGGGGGGCAGGAGCAGATCTGAATAGAGGGCTGTTGTATGTGAGCACTGAGAAAAGGGTGAGTCAGGTTTGACTAGTGTAGCTTATACATTGTCTTCCTAGGACAAACTGAAGAACAGATACTGCTAACTGTAAAGCTTAGGAAACATTTTTAAGTGGTGAGCCTTCTTAGCAAATGGATACCTGAGGAAGTGAGGAAATTGGACAGTGATGAGGTGGCTTCTGCCAGCTGCCATCTTTCCTCTGAGCTCCTCTGCCACACTGTCAATTTTTAGGCAGAGAGAAAGAAGAGCAGGGCCTTTTAGTTGTACCTCTAACCCTCAGTGCACTTATATTTTTATAAACAGATAATGTAGTCTATGATCGTATATTCAGAAGCTGCAAAAAGACATACAGCAAATACTCTCCTACTTTTCTCTCCTTCTGCCACTGTCTTGTCATCTTTTTTTCCTGATGTTTATGCACATGAGACCTTTGCTGGTAGTCCATATCAAGATAGTGAACTTCATTCTTCTTTATGATCACATACCATTCTATTTATGTTTGGGAATGCTCTTATAGTTCCTTACACATTATTCTTTATACATTATTATAGTTTCTTCACACATTATTTTTACATGTGAGGCTATATCTATAGGGTCATTTTATAGTAAGGTTCTATATAGAGATTTGTTCCTTTATTCCATTCAACATTTATATGCCAGACACCATGGCAGGTACCAGGAATGCAGCTTTCAGCAAGTCAGATAATGATCCCTGTTCTCAGGAAATGTTACTGTGTTCTGATGGGGGGAAACACATATCCAGGCAAATATAACAATGATCTTGTATGCGAGAGGAAACCAAAAGGGGCCATATAGAGAATAATTGGAAAGAGCTACTTTAAATGGGCTCAGGAAGGCTTCTTAAAGGATGGGATGTGATCTGCCATAGATGTGGTACAAGGATGCTCAGGCTGTTAAAAGCCTGCATTCAGAAGCATATAAAGGATTTTAGAGGTGACACCAAAAAGGAGTTGAGAGTAGTGCAGAGAGATGACACTGAAGACTGGGATTGGATGATATCAAAGCAAATAGGTGGCTAAAGATGAGGCTAGTTAAGGGAGGAAGCTGGTAATGAGAGTTAGGGAGACTGTAAAGGGCTGCGGCTATTTGTGTTTAGAGCTTTGGATTCAGTTTATACAATTGAATTAATTGAAGTAGGGAAACAGGAAAAGAAGCCACTCCTCACTGGCTTGAGAGAGGCATAGCCTTACCCAAGGACGGGAGCGTGGGTTAAAATCTGAGAAGAACCGGTGTATGCTTGAAGTAGAGAGCCTTCTGCATCTTTTCTGTGGCAAAATGGAAGCCTCCAAAATACAGATGGCATTGAAGGTCTCAGCCAGCCAGCTTTGGGCTGGCACAGAGCGAGCTTAAAGCTTGGGGTGGGCAGTAAAACTGGGCTTGGAGACCTGCTCTCAACTTTGTGCTGCTTTTTCATCCTCACCCTTTCTGCTTCCCTTCCACAAAAGCCCATCTCTGTGCCCATCCTGGGTCCTATGACTTTTCTCTCCCTCAACAGTCGGTTCCCGATTCTGGTCCCCGGCCCCCAGCAGCGCCTGCCCCCTTCCCACCGGGGCCCCCCATGATGCCACCACCCTTCGTAAGTTTTGTGTGTTTCCCTGGGCTTGGCTTTTCCAGCCTGCACCCTCAGCTCCCCAGCCCTTGCCACTGCTGCCTTGCCAGCATGGTGATGCCCCTTGGAAGAGGGGTGGTTTTGTTTGGGCGTTGGGGTGGGGAGAGATATTGATAAGCTCTAGTTCCTAAAGCTGCCAGTTCCCTCTTTGTCTTTTTGTTCTTGAGACACATTGGGACTGGAGGTAGAAGTAGAAGGAAAAAGACCCCTTTAGAGTGAGAGCAGGGTGGGGCTGTCTTTCTCTTTCACTACTCCTTACCTGTGCTCTGTTAAAAAGCCACAGAATTTGGGCTGAATAGCATTGGCGGTCATGAGTTGGAGAGAAAGGGATGGGAGGCAGAGGACTAGGGGACGCCTGCCTTCTGCCTCTTGACCTGAGGCTTCTTGGGCAGGAGTGCCAAAGGACACAGCTTCCCCGAAGTCTGGTGCTGTTCCACTTCCCTTTCCTTTGCCCTCCCCATGCCTCTTAAGTTGTTTGCTTGCCTGTTAGGCCCAGAGAACACCCCCTGTTGTCCGTCTTTCTTAGTGGTGAGGAGAAAGGCAGTTTTGTGTCTTTTGCTTCTCAAATGAAAGCCTTGGAATTGCCTCCAAGCCAGGGTGGAGGGCTGGGTGGGCACAGGTGACTGTTTCCTGCTGGGTCTTCTCTGCCCCTACCTACTAAGGCAGTGTCTTCTCTGTTCAATCTCTCTTCCTTTCCTCACTTCCAGATGCCCCCTCCAGGGATCCCCCCACCCTTTCCTCCGATGGGGCTCCCTCCCATGAGTCAGAGACCACCAGCCATCCCCCCTATGCCGCCTGGCATCCTGCCCCCAATGCTTCCACCAATGGGGGCACCACCACCACTCACACAGGTAATCGTCTCCCTCCACAGGGTCCTCAGGAAACCCTGTCAGGTTTTGCTGAGGGTAGAGGTGAGAGTGGGAATCTGGGCTTTAGAAACGGGAGGGAAGGGAGTTTTGGGCCAGGCTCATGTGGATTTGTCTGCTGAGTGACTGACACAACTCTCAGGCAAGGCGGGAGCCTAGAACCTGGGACTCGGTGGAGGTGCCCAAGTGAGAGTCATGACCCAAGCAGAATCTCCCTGAACCCACAGGGGACGCTGACTGACAGAGACTCTGCCTTCATCTCAGTGACTGATTTTTATATCCATAGATACCAGGAATGGTACCTCCGATGATGCCAGGAATGCTGATGCCAGCAGTGCCTGTCACCGCAGCGGTAAGCGCTAGGGGCTAGCAAAAAGCAGGCTGTGCCCTGCAGTCCTGTGGGTATAACTTGGAGAACAGAAATATGATTCCAATCTTTCCCTCCTCTTATATCTACCCTGGTCCCTGCAACACTCCCCACATTTGAATTCTTCTCACCAGTCAACAACTCAGCAATTCATTTTCTGCTCATCCCCAAAGGCATTTCTTCTTTCTTGTTATTCCCCATGCTGTATCCAGGACTCTGAAGAAACATACTCATCCCAGACACTCCTTCCCCTCCAAAGGGCCATCTGTAGACATCATAATATGGTTCTCTTCTTTACATCGTCTCTGCCTCCTAAGGAGGCAGTGACACCCAGGGATCTTAGGCCGCGGCTCAGCATAGTAGAGTCTATATAGTAGAGTCTGAGTGGGATGTAGAATCTGCCATGCACTGTGAAGAGATGGGCCGCAGGAGTTGACTCAACCACATACTCTCATTTGTGGAAAATAAAGAAAGGAGCTGCTGTATGATTCCCCTGGGATCTGAGAGCCATGGCCCTGGCAGAGGGGCGGGGGACCTGTTAGGGAGCAGAGATTCTTGGGAGCAGGATACATGGATCCTGGCCTGGCCTGCTTCTCCATCTCCCATGGCCTGGGTCTTGGGGGCCACTGGGCTTGGCCCCAACCCTTCCCCTCCTCTTTCTTCGGCAGACGGCTCCAGGTGCGGACACCACCAGCTGTGAGTCTTCTGGGGGTCTGCTTCCCCCAGGCTCGGAGGTTGGGGGGTACAGGGGAGAGGGGACCATGGACTGGAGCCCACTCTGGATCATGCCTGTTGGGATGCCAGGGAGCCTGGGATGTTGATGGGACCAGGGGGATATTTGTTGGGGATGGAATAAGGGAGGACTAGGTGGGGATAAGATGGGGGTTGGAACAAAGTCTTTTTTTTTTTATCACTCTGAATTTGTAAGAACAAAGTCTTAATATATTTTCTTTGGCTTTTTTCCTAGCTGCTGTGGCTGGGACAGGTCCTCCGGTGAGTCTTTCAGTGCGGGTCTCTGGGCAGAAAGGCTGAAAGTGGGGGTGCTGATAGTAAAATCTTTGGGGTGAGGAGGAAAGACTTTGGGAAAGGGCCTTGACCACCATTCTGTGCCCCCCCCCCCAGCGGGCCCTATGGAGTGAGCATGTGGCCCCTGATGGGCGCATCTACTACTACAATGCTGACGACAAGCAGTCCGTGTGGGAGAAGCCCAGCGTGCTCAAGTCCAAGGCGGAGGTCCTGAGTGGGGCTTTTTGGCCCTTCCTTTCAGCTGCCCTGACCCTTCCAAGTTCTTGGCCTCCCTGGAGTCTAACCATGCTCACTGTGGTTCCTCTGATCCCAAATCCCTGATCTCACCCCCTTTACTACCTAGAAGTGTTTTCCTAGAACCTCAGAAAGTTCACCTTCTCCCATTCAAGCCTGGCAAGATGGTAGCTCAGGGGTCCTATGTCCTCTGTTCACTGGGGTTCCCTTTGCTTCTCTGATTATGGCTGAAAGCTCCTCAGCGTACTGATGTTCTTTGACCCATCCTCTTGCAGCTGCTGCTGTCCCAAAGTCCCTGGAAAGAGTACAAGTCAGACACAGGCAAACCTTACTACTATAACAACCAGAGTCAGGAGTCCTGCTGGACCCGGCCAAAGGATCTGGATGATCTGGAGGGTGAGGAGTCCTGGGAGAAAGGGGCAGCGAAGTTTGGCCAAGGATAAGGGAGCAAGTTCTTTGCTATACTGACAGTGTTATCTTTTCCTATTGCAGCTCTAGCCAAACAAGAGACTGCAGGGTGAGTGACTTACCCACCTATCCATCCAAACTTGAGAGTGGGAATGGGTGATCTCTCCATTGTCCTCTGTGAGAGGAGACAGTTCTCAGTTTCCTCATGTGTCATCTGCTCTGGCTAGAGAAACTAACCACCCCTGTTCTCTGTCCCAGCACTACACTGTCCTCTTGCTTGCCTGCAGGAAACAGCAGCCCCAGACACTACAACCACAACCTCCTCAGCCACAGCCTGACCCCCCACCTGTACCTCCTGGCCCCACTCCGGGACCCACAGGCCTCCTGGAACCCGAGCCAGATGGGAGTGAAGATTGTGATGTGTCCGAGGCTGCCCAGTCCCTGGAGCAGGGGTTCTTGCAGCAGGTGGAAGAAGGCCCCAGCAGGTGAGGACTGCCCCCATGACATTCCATGGGGGGCTTCAGGCTCTTGGCCTGCCTTGTCCCTTATCCTCTGTCAGCCTCCCAGGAGGGGCATGTAGATCTAGGCATGACCTTTGGAGGGCAGAAAGAGGCCACCCTGGAAAGCAAGGAGTGGGTAAAGTGTTGCTGAAAGTGCAGGGCATTGAAAAGCAGTGCTGACTGGGAGCCCTGTAGCTGAGTCCCATCTGCCCCCAGTTCTGGACAGCATCAGCTACCACAGCAGGAGGAGGAGGAATCCAAGCCAGAACCAGAGAGGTCTGGCCTCAGCTGGAGCAACCGGGAGAAGGCAAAGCAGGCATTCAAGGAGCTGCTGAGGGACAAGGTGCTGAGGGCGGGACTCCCAGGAAAGGCATGGAGGGGCCTGGAGGTGGGCAGGCCCCGTGACCCCTGCCTGCTGCATTCTAGGCTGTCCCCTCCAACGCCTCGTGGGAACAGGCCATGAAGATGGTGGTCACCGACCCTCGTTACAGGTAGGCCTAGGCAATGGCAGCCAGGCCTTGTTCACAAAGGCACCTGGGCCCCCTGAGAAGCCCCAGCTCACCGTTTAGCTCATGGGGGTTGAAGTTAGGAAAGTAGTAGACTGTCATAGAGGAGGAAAAACTGAAAGACCTCCAGGATGAGAACACATTATATTCAGTAAATGCTTTTGGGATTGAATTGAATTAATTGGGGGGAAAGAAAGGTTTGGTGAATAAGGCAGAGATCTGATGGCAACTTGAGACCCCAAAGCAAAAGGACCCAGTGTTAACAGTGTCTTGAGGTACATCTCTCTCCCCCATTGTCTCTCTCCAACCCACATGGCAGACATCTGTGTGCTAAGCCCACGCATGGACCCTCTACTCAGCCCCATGAAGACCCTTTCCTAGTGTTCTGTGATCCTACTTTGTAGGGTATGCGAGTGGTTTAGGCTAACTCTGCCTACTCCTATCCTTTCTGTCTTAGTGCCTTGCCCAAACTCAGTGAAAAAAAGCAAGCATTCAATGCCTACAAGGCACAGCGGGAGAAGGAGGAAAAGGAGGAGGCCCGGCTGAGGGCCAAGGAGGCCAAGCAGACCCTGCAGCATTTTCTGGAGCAGCATGAACGCATGACGTCCACCACCCGCTACCGGTCAGGGGGCCAGGCCGGGGTGGGACCTGGGCATCCTGAGAACACAAAAGCTCAGGGGTCTGTTTTCTGCCTGTCTACTCACAGCCCATGTGCTCCACAGGCGGGCAGAACAGACATTTGGGGAGCTGGAGGTCTGGGCTGTGGTCCCCGAGAGGGACCGAAAAGAGGTTTATGATGATGTCCTCTTCTTCCTGGCCAAGAAGGAGAAGGTAATGGTCAGTGGGCTGGATCCTTTAGCCCCAGTGTTGCTCTGGACTGTCTTTGTCTTTGATTCCTTATGGACCCGGGCCATTCATTTCTCTGCTCCCCAGTGTCCAAGCTTCTGACTTGGTACCTGATATGGCACTTGTACATCTCCTTATTTCTGCCCTGGGCCTATCACCCAGGAGGAGTCTCGAGAGGCTCGTGTGTGACTTGCGCTTCCTCCCTCTCCAAATCTGGCCCTTTTCCTAGGGTTCTCTAGCTAACTCCTTTCCCTGTATCCTCTCTGCCAGACCCACTTGGGTAGTTCTGGCCTGCATCACCTAACCCTAATCCTATGGCTTCCCAGGAACAGGCCAAGCAGCTGCGGCGCCGCAATATTCAGGCCCTGAAGAGCATCCTGGATGGGATGAGTAGTGTTAACTTCCAAACTACATGGTCCCAGGCCCAGCAGTACCTCATGGATAACCCCAGCTTTGCTCAAGACCATCAGCTGCAGAGTAAGCATGCAACTCCCATCTGTCCCTTTTCTCACCTGGCTCCTCAGATTCTACTTCACATCACTGTCCTGCACCTCCTGCCCATCCTAGAAATCCCAAATCCTCAGTCACTGTACCTCCATAGACTGGGGTTCCCAGAATGTTTCAGGACACCCTTTCCCTCTGGGCTTTTCTGCTGATGTGGACCTAATCTTGGAGGAAGACTTCTGGGATAGGAATCAGAAGCCCTGGTGATAATGGTGATATTTATTGTTCATGTGATTATAGTTTTAAATGGTCAAAGCACCATGAGCTTTAACTGGTCACATATACCACATTGCCAGCTTGTGGTTACTGTGGATAGGAGAAATCTACCTTCTGAAGTTGCATCTAAACCTGATTGACTTCTGATTTCCTAAGGTGTGAAACCTCAGATCCTGAGATAATGAGTTTCATGTGCTGGTTTTCAATAACTGAATTCATCAAAGCTGAGTATTTGCTGCTTTTTTCTAATACAATTAATGGCCCCCTGCTCAAGAGCCAGCATTGCAGCGTTGCTCCCACAGATCCCTCTCTATCCTTTCCACTAACTTGGGTGTACCCAGCACATATGGGGTGGCATCCTTCAGTCAGACAGGGTGCTAGAAGCTTAAGATGGTGAACCTTCTCCCTATCTGTAGACATGGACAAAGAGGATGCTCTAATCTGCTTTGAGGAGCACATCAGAGCTTTGGAGAGGGAGGAGGAGGAAGAGCGGGAACGGGCCCGGCTTCGGGAGCGTCGTCAGCAACGCAAGAACCGGGAGGCCTTCCAGGTATCTTCACTGTATTTGAGGATTAGAGCTTGGCCCTGCCTCAGTCCACTGCCTCTTTCCCTATGTGTTGCCTCTGGATTAGGCACCTGTCCTTTCCCTAACCTCATCCAAGCTCCACAGGGCCTCTCTGCCTGCAGTTTTGCTGCTGCTGTGTCCACGCAGCTCAGTCTGGACTCCTCTAGAGAGACCAGATGCAAAGGCATGGTGTGGTGGCCGAGCCATGTATATTTCCTTATACCCCAGCTTGGGAGTGATAGTGGTGGCAGTGTAGGGGTGACATAACTGATCATGTCAGAAAGTTGAAGCCCAATCATAGACTTACTGCTGGCAGGTTTCTGTTTTATTGCCTTTCAGACTAGCTCATTCTCATTTTTTGTTCTGTCCCTCTATTTACATTCTCTTCCTTTGTAGTGTTCTCTTCCTTCACATCTGTATCTCATCTGCTTCCCTTGCCTGGATTTCCTGTCTGGATTGTTGCTGCCTGTCTTGCCATTCCTCTTGTGCCCCAGTCCCTGGCTCTGCCTCCCTTCCTGTCTCACTCTCCCTATCCCTTGCATCTCCCTGCTCAGACCTTCCTGGACGAGCTGCATGAGACAGGGCAGCTGCACTCCATGTCCACCTGGATGGAGTTGTACCCAGCAGTCAGCACTGACATCCGGTTTGCCAACATGCTGGGCCAGCCGGGTAAGGCAGCCAGGCGCCCCTTCTCTGATCTGGCTTCCTGCCCTGTCAACTCTACACCCCACGCCCTGGTCCTGTCCTCAATCTTACCCCAGGCCTTGGGAAGCTGCCGCCCGCCAGGCCCCCCTCCCTCCCTCCCTGCAGGCTCCACCCCTCTGGACTTATTCAAGTTTTATGTGGAGGAGTTGAAGGCCCGATTCCATGATGAGAAGAAGATCATAAAGGATATTCTTAAGGTGAGGGAGACCAGTGCTATGGATGGATGCTGGCTGGGAGGGAACCACTCCCTGATAAGTCCTATCCCATTCTGCAGGAGGTGGCAGCTTGCTCACTAGATACCAATTGTGGGCCTTTACGGTGTATTCCCTGGCACACAGTAATAAGCCACAATTTCTGCTCATAGAAGTGTGTGGCCCAGTAGCGGAGATCAAGGGTTATTACCCAGGTATCATGCCTGACAAATTTGAACTTCCTGTTTAGGAGTGGGTGGAATGTTCTAAGCATAAGGGCACTAGATGCAAGATACAAAGGTGGGGGTAGGTTTGAGGAGCAAGAAGTATAGCTACATGTAAGCTGATAGCCCATGGGTGTTTTTTTCTGGCCGGTATGGTTTTAGAAAAACGTAGAACTCACTGCTAATACGTTAATTATTTTTGAGACCGGGTCTCATTATGTAGTCCTGGTTAGCCTTGAACTTACTGGATAGCCTAGAAGCAATCCTCCTGCCTCAGCTTCCTGAGTTCTGGGATTACAGGCATGCTGGGCCATTGCTTATAATTTTTAAGTCAAAAGATTTCATATAAAAAATCTGATTTTTCAGCATTTCTTGTCAGGTTAGATTCCCTGGACTCAGGCACTACCCTCTGTAAGGATGTCATTCTTTCCTCACTACTCCTTACCACTTTTAGTATTAGAACAAGTGCCTGCTGCCATTCACTATCCCATGTGCACTGTCGCACTTCTTACACTGGAGAAATAGTTCTTAGTGTCTCTATCAGAGTTAGAAAAGACAAGCTGAGTGTGGTGGACCTGTAATCTCAGCACTGAGGAGGCTGAAGCAGGAGGGTCACCATGACTTTAAGCCCAGTCTGGCCTGCAGAGTGAGTTCAAGTTTGAACTACACAGCAAGGACTGTTTCAAAAAACTAATAGTTAGAAAAGATGAGTAAGCAAATGAAGGAAGCTTTGTGTTCTAAAAGGAAAGAAACAAAATATAAAAAAAATAGGGAGAAAGCCCATTTCCTTATGGAAGTAAAGAACATCCTAATGTATTTGAGGAAATAATCTACTAGAGTGGTTAGGAGCAAGACTTGCAGACTGCACAGGGTAAAAGTCCAGATTAACTCCCTTTACTAGTTTCATGACCTCACACAGGCCACTTGACCTTTTGGAGCCTGAATTTCCTCATCCACAAAGTATGAGTTTTCAGCCGGGCATGGTGGCTCATGCCTGTAATCCCAGCATTGGGAGGCTGAGGCAGGAGGACCATTGCGAGTTCAAGACAAGCCTGGGCTAGGGGCTGGGGATTTAGCTCAGCGGCATAAGCGCCTGCCTTGTAAGCAGGCAGTCGTGAGTTCGATCCCTGGTACCGATAAAAAACGAAAAAGACAAAAAAAAAAAAAAAAAAACAAAGACAAGCTCAAGGCCAGCCTGAACTGCACAGCGAGCCCCTGTCTCAAAAAGACAAAAAAAAAAAAAAAAAAAAGTTTTCCACCAAAGAATGCTTGGTTACAGAGGAACATATGTTGATACCTGAGTTGAGGGACCTAGTAATAAAGTTAAGGTTTCATCTCATCTGCCTGCATAATACAAATTTAACATTTAAAAAATTACCATTAGGAAAGATGTTTTCTGTTTCTCTGAAACTGTAGCTAATGTAGCACCTTGCGTGCTAAAATTTGAGCTGGGTGTAGTGACACCTCAGCATTCTGGAAGCTAAGGCAGGATTGCTTCGAATTTGAGGCCAGCCTGAACTATATAGGGACCCTGTCTCAACAAAAAAACAGAAACTGAATTTTTATCTTGTAAGTGATAAGATCAGATGGCGTTTCGGAAAAGCCACCAGTATGTGGTAGCGCATTCCAGGCTGCATTATTTGTGTCTTTGAGAAGGTGGTAGTGGTAGATCAATAGTTCTTGATAAACACAATGTGGGGGCTCAGTTTGAGAGGATTTTATGATTCCTATTTTAAGTGGAGGTACGTACATCTCCTTTATGTGTTAAAGTGCTAATATTTTTATTGAAAAATAGCTTCTAAAAAAAAACTTCTTTGGGGGGGGGTATCAGGGATCAAACTCAAGATCTTACAGTTGCCAGGCAGGTGTTTATGCCACTAAACTAAATCCCCAACCAAAGAAAAACAAACTTTAAAACCAATGGATAGTCACTAAGTCGCTGTCAGGTTGTTTTGTGAAGTTGAAAGAAGGGTAAGGAGTGAGGTGCAAGGAGCAGGACAGTGGAATGATGGGACCATTGGTCAGGACTAAACAGAAAGGGCAGAGCTGCACAAGACAGGAATTCCAATTCTCAGAAGCAGCTGTATTTTTTAATCAGGTTAAGTATATAAACTAGAAATAACTAGTCCCAAGATAGTTAAATTTTATTAGATGGTTAGTCATAAAGTGGCTTATATCACCAACTGGCCTACAGGGCCCTTATCCCCCTGTACTACCTTAGAAAGAAGCTGTTTTGAAACAGCTGCTTCCTGTCCCTCCATTTGGGCTTCTGTCTTTGCATGACAGACGACCCCATAAGTCTCTATGACTGTCCACATCCAGGTAGTCTGGTAGTACCTCTCATCTGTAGGGTCACACAGGGGCCTGTGTAGGAGGGGGCTCATGAGGAATGAATTCTCTTATGTGCTGAAGTATCTGTGAGTGAGTCTAGTACAGGTCTGGAAATCAGATGGGAAGAGATTGCTAGTGACAGTGTAGATCAGTAGTGGAAAAATAGCTGTTCTCAAGAACAAGCATATACAAGAAAGGCAACAGTGTTCAGAGAGAGACCCTAGAGAGGGGTGTGTGGGAGAATTAAACAGCAGATGCACTGGAGTCGGGAGGACCAAGTAGGAACCCGTGGCTTTGGTTGTTACAACACGAGCAACTTGTGGGAGAGCAGTGAGCAAGAAGGTAGTGGCTCTAGGGCAGCACACATTTCAAAATTAAGTAACTCCTGGTTGTTTATTGGCTTTGAGACTTCTTTGAGGCTGCTTCCTCTTCCATACATTGGAAACACAGTCCATATGCAAGGTTGAGAATTAAATAACATTTGGAAAGTGTCATGTTTACAGAAGCCTCTCAACAAATGTTTATTTTTCTTGTATTTCAAGAAATTTTAGGGCCAGGAATTAGCTCAGTGGCATAAGTGCCTGCTTTGCAAGTACATGGTTTTGAGTTTGACCTCTAGTACCAAAAAATTAAAGAAATTTTAAAACTGTGAGGCAGCAGCAAAGGTAGTTAGCTTGAGAAGGTGAGAGCAGGGTATAAGGGGTATTTGTGGCAGAATGATTGTGCTTGATGGAAGGTGCCAGTGAAGACGATGAGATTAAAGCTTTCGTTTCAGAGGGTGGGTGTTGGAGGGCAATCAGCAAGGCCAAAGGAAGCTACAGCTATGTGAAGGGAGAGAATATTGCTGTGCCTGTGACTTGTACCCCAGTAGCTCCATTTATTATTTGTCTCATCAGGGACCACATAAGATCACGCTCCTAAAACTCCACTCCAGGGGGATGCTGTGAGGCTTCCGTGAGAAGCATGGAGGCTGGCCATTGTGCTAAGAGTGGGACACATTTTGAATATTGTTAGGGAGTTGAACTTGATGGCCCCCATTTCTCTTATGGACTAAGTGATCTTTATAAGCATAGTGAAGGTACAGGCTTTGAGGTTAGAAAGACCTGGTGTTGAGTATTGCCCATGCATAGGTGTAGCTATAAGACCATAGGCAGGTATTATTTCTTCTGCATAAAACTAGGATGCTAGGATTTGTTTTTATTTTTTTGGAGACAAGATCTCAATATGTAATGGACACTGGCCTTTAAAAATCTTCCTGCTTCAGCCTCCTAAGTGCTGGAGTTATAGGCATATGTCTCCTTGCCTAGCAGGCCTGTTCTTAAATGAGAACCAGGAGAGTTAAAAGTGTGAGTGGCAGGGTATCTGGTACTGAGTAAACATTCAGTAAATACAGCCAGAGGGTAGGTAGCAGCAGATGTTGATAGAGAATGCATGGAAGCTTCCCTGAGCGACAGAAAGGCGCAGCTGGGGCCAGAGCTTTAAGCCAACTGAGAAACTCAGACCTCAGTCAGCAGATCTGGAGACACCTGTCAAGCCCTGGAGCTCTGTGTGACATCCAGACAAGGGGCAGGCATGGGGCTTGTTACAGGAGGACCTGGCCAGTGGATTCAGAGGTGTTGGCCTCTTGTGACCCCTCTGCTTATCAGCCATGGCTCACCTCAGACCTGTGCTGCTCCCTGCTTCATGCGCTGCTGTGCCCACAGGACCGGGGCTTCTGTGTGGAAGTGAACACAGCCTTTGAGGACTTCGCCCACGTCATAAGCTTTGACAAGAGGGCTGCTGCGCTGGACGCAGGCAACATCAAGCTGACCTTCAATAGTGTGAGGGGACGGGATGGGGTGGGGCTTCTTGTCGAACTCGTCCCGGTGCCTACTCCTTTCCTGGTTACTGCCCCACTGACTGTAACTTGGGTTTGGGGGATGATGGCAAAGTCCAGGCCTCAGCTTCTTATGTCTCAGTATGTGGGAGCAGGTCCTAGGCACTCAACATTTTGGGTGATTGTATGCTGTGTGCTCTTTGCCCTCAGCTGCTAGAGAAAGCAGAGGCACGGGACAGAGAGCGGGAAAAGGAGGAGGCACGAAGGATGCGGCGCAGGGAAGCTGCGTTTCGAAGCATGCTGAGGCAGGCTGTGCCTGCTCTGGAGCTGGGCACTGCGTGGGAAGAGGTCAGGAGCGCAGCTTGGCACCCGTCACCCTCAAGCCTGAGGGCAGCGGAGCTTCTCCATCACTGCGGGCCCACCCCAGTTACAGACAGCCCTGGGCCAGCTCCGATTCCCTTCTTTCCACTGTCCCAGCCCTGCCCTGTGCTCATGGCGGTATCCAACCTGAGCCAGGCGGGGCCTGGTCTCATCAGCAGTGCTCTCCCCGTTCAAGGTCCGTGAGCGCTTTGTGTGCGACTCAGCCTTTGAGCAGATCACCCTGGAGTCGGAGCGGATCCGGCTCTTCCGGGAGTTCCTACAGGTGTTGGAAGTGAGTGAGCTTCTTGCCTTCAAGCTCCATCCGAAGCATTTGAACCTTCTAGACCAGTTTAACAATGGCTTCTCACCTCAGGGGCCTCTTTTACCTGGCCAGTAAGAAGGGGAAGGCTGAGGGGCCCTAGGACAGGCCGGAGGCTCTAGCTTGAGTCAGGGAGACTGTTCTACCTGAGGCTAAGGCAAGTTCCCCTCACCTCTTGCCCGTCTCTAGCAGACTGAATGCCAGCACCTCCATACCAAAGGCCGAAAGCACAGCAGGAAGGGCAAGAAGCACCATCGCAAGCGTTCCCACTCGCCTTCAGTGAGTTGGCAGGTGGAAGGCATATGGGGGGAAGCTGGATTGCTCTGGAGAAATACTTTGTTTTTCCCTTCTATTACTACCCTTGGAGGGAGATTTAAGGATTCCTTTGGCCCTGGGTCGTCTTTTCTACCCCCTCTATCCTGTCCCCAATTGCCAGACAAGGGGTCTAAAGGTCAGAGAACTTCTGCACTGACTGGTATGTGCTGTCTACCCAGGGCTCCGAGTCAGAAGAAGAAGAGCTGCCCCCACCATCCCTCCGGCCCCCTAAACGGAAACGGCGGAACCCCTCAGAGTCTGGTTCTGAGCCCTCATCTTCACTTGATTCAGTGGAAAGTGGGGGTGCTGCCCTTGGAGGACGGGGCTCCCCATCTTCCAACCTCCTTGTATCAGGTGAGCAGTTATTTGCTGGCAATCTGGATTGTGAAGTCCAACTTGGGAATGTAGGAACTTTCTGCTCGTGCCCATGCAAGAGCCTGAGAGAAGGGAGGGAAACTAGCCTGAGCCTTTCCCAGACTGCTGTCTCAGACCTGCAAAGAATGAACAGAGAGGGCTGTGGCAGCGAAGAGGATGAGGCCTTCTTTTTGGCCCTAGAGATTTAATAGGGATTTTTCTATCTCCAGATCATGGCCTTCGGAAAGCCAAGAAACCAAAAAAGAAAACTAAAAAGAGAAGACACAAGTCGGTGAGTAGAAGATAGCTCTCTGTCCAAAACCCTGCTATTTTGAAGGCTGTGTTCATCTACTTCCCAGCTGTCCTGCACAGGAGCTGAGGTACACTTTGGACTCTTACAGAACAGTCCTGAGAGTGAAACTGACCCTGAGGAGAAAGCTGGCAAGGAGAGTGAGGAGAAAGAACAAGAACAGGATAAGGATAGGGAGCTTCAGCAGGCGGAGCTCTCTAACCGCTCCCCAGGCTTCGGTGTCAAGAAGGAAAAGGTGAGAGGTAGGGCCCAGTACTGGTCAGGTACCACTCTGTCCAGGGAACTTGGGGTGATCCTTGCCTTTGTTTAACAGACAGGCTGGGACACTTCAGAAAGTGAGCTAAGTGAGGGGGAGCTGGAAAGGCGGCGGCGGACACTTCTACAGCAGCTAGATGACCACCAGTGACCTGAAAAGCTGCTCTCGGCCTTGGACCAGGCTTGTGTGAGGCAGTGGCTCCTGGGCTGCCCTCACTGTGCCTCAGACTCCTTCTCTGTCTGGTCTGTGTCCACTGTTCGTAAAGCAACTTCGCCCCAACACACCACTGTTGGCACCTCTCAAGGTTTGCTTTGGTGTTTGAGGGTACCCCGCTTCCTGGACAACTAGTACAGTCCTTCCCTCAGCCCTAAACCAGAGACGGGTGGTCTGTGTCACACGGGGTAGGTGACACTAGTAGGTGCAGTGTGAGTGCCGGGGTCTCCAGGGAAGAGACAGGCTGGTGGCCACAGCCTGGGTGGTGGAGGGCAGGGTCCTCTTCCTCTAGCACCAGTGCCTGCTCCTGCCTGCCCTGGGGCTCCACCACTGCTTCCTCCAGCCCTGGGATCCAATGTATGTGTGTTTTTTGTTTTTTAAATAATATTTATAACACAGCCAGTGGCTTTTGTCCTTATTTGCTACTGGGGCAGGCTGTGGCCTGAACAGGGAAACAGATGGCCAGGAGAGGGCACTCGTGTCTCATGTAGGCCCGCTCCCTTTGTGTGGTCAGAGACCACCCAGCCAGCTTCTCCCTTCCCCAGGCTTCTGAGCTCTTCTTCCCTAAAATGGAGGTTTCTACCCCTGTAACCAACTTAGCCCACCCCCTCAAGACTAGGAACAGGAGACACAGCCTGGTGCTTCAAGCTTTTGTTGAGAGGGAAGATTGGGGTTTATGTACAAGAAAAAGGGAAGCAGTACATGTACAAAAAGAGGTGGCCCCAGCACTCCCTTCCAAGGACTGAGAAGAAACTGGCAGGGAACTGAACAAATGGTCTTGTGAGGATCATGCTGCCTTCCATCTGCCAGAAATACCCCTAGCTGAGGAAAGGAGCTGAGGTTATGGGCACGTCCTTCTCTAGTGGTCTTGGGACCAGTGTGGAGAGAGCTTTTGTTCTCCAGGTCACCACAGCAAGGCCAGCATCCACCTAGACTACAACGGATGGAGAGGACAGTGGGCTGGGCATCCCTCCTCTACCCTTATCATGAGGGAGCAGGCGGGTGAACCCAGCAGAGAAAGGCCTCCCTCATGGTGAGAGATGATCCAAGATTGGCAGGGTGCCAGGCCCCTTAAGCCTGGATATTTCTAGACCTGGCTGAGAGGCTTTCTCATCTCCTGGGCTGTAGGAGAGAGGCCTACGTGTCCCTATGTAGGCTAAACCTGGATTTTTCCCAAGCCCTCAACTGATCCTTGGTGACCCTTCAGGAAATGATGCTGACTAAATGGGCAAAGTGCAGTACTGGAGGCACAATGAAAGTGCCAGGGCCCCATAAGCTAGTGCTCACAGTGACACACGTTAAAACCCAGCCTGAGAGCTGGAATGGCTGGCACGGCTGAGCACACTGTGTAGCCTTCCGCTGGGCCCTTGGCTTCAGGTCCACTGGCCGGACTTGCAGAGCTGAGGGGTGTAGCACTTCTGCCTCCAAGACAGTCTCAGTGGGGGCCTGGGGCCCGAGGAGGGCCACTTGGTGGTGCAGGACTCCTTGTTTGATGGCAAACAATGGGTTGATAGTGGAGGCCTGTGGGGAGGACAAGGCAGATGAGCAGGACCATGCCTTGAGGAGTGGCCCCACAGCAGGGCTGAGAGTCGCCAGCCATGAAGTGTACTGATGGTGGGTACAGGAGACAGGGAAGGTGTGGGAATAGCCACAGCTACAAAGAGACTGTCAGTGTCAGGAGACAGAGATCAAGGAACACTTGACTGTTCCTGGGCATCAGCTACTGCCAGACCTCTCAGAAGGAATTTTGAGAAGGCAAGGATTCTGATACTTCAGGTGATCAAAACTGTAGGCTTGATCTTGGCTGTGCTGGTACAGCCCCCAACCCCTGCTGGCAACTCTGTATCCCATCTTAGTAAAAGCCATGAGAGCGTTAGTGGGAGACACCACTTCCCTGAGGGTGCATGCAGAGGATAAGCCATGCTTCTCAGAACACAAGCATGCAGAAGTATGTGTCCCCATCACTAGGAGGCTGCCAGTGTATGGTTCCAAATCATGCAGTGGGAGTGCCTGTGAGCTCCCAGACTCTGGGGGAGTGCTGGTCATGCAGAGGGGCTGCTGTGGTGCCTGGTACCTGTCAGGGGCCCCAGCTCTGGGGGTTAACAGTTTGACTCATCATGGTGGGCTGCATCACAGAAGAAGCGTGAGCCCCGCTTGGCAGTACGGGCCGTGAAGGGGACACTCTTCAGCACTGTGGCCCAGGAGAGAGAGAGTAGTCAGGCCTCACATTGGGTGGGTAGGAGTAGAGCCCAAGGCAGTTAGGCTGGGCCAAATGGCCAGCTCCCAAGGAGGGCAAAGGGCCATCTGTACCTGTGATAATGTCCTCAATGGTACCATCCTTCCCCTCGTAAACAGGCCGGTGCTCCTTAGCCTGGCGCCGCCTCAACTCTGCAATTAGCTCCTGCTGTTGCCATTTGTTGCGCTGGGATGGGGTCTTTGAAGGCAGAAGAAATCATCACTAACTTGATCCCTCAACTTGGATATCCAATTGCACACTGCTAGGAATCCCCCCGTCCCCCACAGACCCGTCTCCCTAGACTCAAGCCCTTAGGCCCTCTGCAGGTCTCTCTGTCCAGTTTTCCACTTTTTCTCTAGCTCTGCATTCTGCTGAGGCCCAGAACTGGTCCACCTACCTTGGCATCCAGCTTCTTGGCTTCCTGAGCCAGCTGCTTCTCCCGCATTACCTCCTCCTGCTTCTTGCGGGCTTCATTCTCTTGTTCTGCTTCCTAAGAACCATAGGTGGGAGTGAGACTCACACAGGCTGGGAGGGGAAGGGCTGACACTGAGGGTAGAGAGTGGGTGCCAATGGGACCAGCTAACCCCAGGTGACCACCTTCTGGAGGGGGCACTTCCTGCCCCTAACAATGACAGGAAGGGACTGGGCCCCCACCCTACCCACCAGTTTACAGCTAAGAAGCTTGTCGCCAGCACCCATTGCTCCTCCCCAGAATTCAAAGGAATTGGAAAAGGCCCATACCTGAAGCCCAGTATCTTTCTCCTTCAACCAGTTTCATGTCAGGCAAATTCCTCTTTAAATCTACTCTCCAGCTTACCTTGTAGGAACGAATGAATCTGACAAATACTGGGAAGAATACAGAAGGAGGTGTGGTCTTGGGACTCTCGCCAAAGTAGCACACAACTGCATTGTAGGCTTCCTGGGAAAGGGGCAAAGGGGTCAGGGTGACGGCAAGGAGAAGTCCACACCAGGACAGAAGGCCCACAGAAAACAGAGCCTAGGGCTAAAGAGAGAAAACCAACTATTCAAGGCTCTGGGAGCTGAGAGAATGCGAAGTCCCCAAAGCTCTGAAGGAACATGTCTCTAGAGGTGGCTGCCACCACCCCGAAAGTCCCTTATTCCCCACAGTGGCTGGTCTGCTGCCTGACAACCTGAGGCAGGCCCACCTCGAGAGGCCTGGTGCTTAGCCTGGGCTGCTCCCACCCGCTTCTCCATCCTTTGCTTGCCTCAGCTGTCTTGGCATCACGCTGGAGCTTGTCAAGTCTGCCTTCATTGGTGCTGAGGAAGCTCCGAAGGACGCTGTTGTCATGAATGCTGCATTCCCGCCGGATGAGCTCCATGCCCCGGCCCAGCTCCTTCACATCTAGCAGCACGTTCTCCAGGGACACTGTGGTCACCAGAGGCCTATTTGAGGCCTGCCCAGCATGTGACATGCCCACTTCCCAGCCCAGGGCTATGGCAAATTTGCCCTCTCTCTTGGCAGGTGGTATGGAAGTGAAGTGTGTATCAAGCCAGCTGAGGCTCTCACGGTGGCCAGGTAAAGCAACAAAGGCTGTGAGTGCAAGGCCTCAAAGAATGGCAGCCACCGTGGCTACTGGTCTTCAAAGTAGAATGCCTTAGGCCTGCCCCAGTTTCAGGGCAGAAATAATAGCTATCTTCTGACTATAAAAGGCTTTATGGTTTTTCTAATTACTTTCCATACATATAGGAAATGCAGTCTCTCTGAGTGAGCTTGAAGGAGCTGGGAGTGAAGAACTACTGCTGTCTTTCCTGCTCCTATGGCACCTAGTTGGGAAGGGTTAGGCTGGGCCTACTGCCTCCCAGAAGCTCCTTCCAGGAAGCCCTTGCTCATGCGTGGCTCTGGCAGAAAGCTTTGAAGCAGTCAGTCAAAGTTAGCAAACAGAAGGACCCAAGTGTTCCCTCTCCTCAAAGTTTCCTGGGATTGTCCTGGGCTGGACATGAGAACAGGTACACTCAGCCAAGGTCTCCTCACCTGCTGCAGCTTTCTCCACAAAGTGCAGCTCATGCCAGAAGTTGGTCAGATCTGGGTATTTTTCCTTCACCGTCAAGGCAATGAAATGTAGCAGTGTCATCTTCCGGTCAGTGGACTTCGTGTCCAGCAGCTGGGAGGGAAGGAAGGAGGGACAGTGCCAGAGAGCTAAACATGCTGGCTTTACCAGCATTGTTCCTAGGCTTCCTGCCTGAGCTGCCCTTTCCACCTTACCAGATCCAAGCTCTGGAGCTTGAAGCCATACACTGCTCCTCGCTTACTGCTGTTCATATAGTTCCCCAGAGCAAGTATGATCTGCCGAAAGATACACAACGGTAGGTCAGACCATGTCTTGAGGCCCCCCATCTCTCTTTATAGCCCCAGGCACCCAGTAGGACCTGGGAACCACCATTCACTCTTCCCCACCTCCAGCATCTGCTTCAGCTTCTGTGAGGACTTGACAGAGGCAGAGGCTGCAATGATGGCATTGAGTTGCTGGAAGAAGAGTGAATACCTGAGTCAGCCCAGGCAGCTGATGGGGTGAAGTGAGGGAGGACAGGGAGGGAAGGGGGGAGGTGGTCAGAAGGGGAGGCGGAAAGGACAGCACCACAGGACCACAGTACAGAGGAGGGATTTAGGCGAGAGCTCTACCGGTGTGAGCATCTGCAGGTTGTCCTGGAAGTTGCCCAGGAAGGCCATGCCAGCCATTCGCTGGGTCAGCCGCTCCACCTTGCTGAAGAGCAGCATGAAGCGGTCCTCGGCTGCCAATTCCTCCAGGGGCTGCCGCTCTCGCTCATATTGCCGCAGCAGCTTCACCTCAGCCTCCGTGGGCAGGAAGCGCATCAGGCACTCCACGAAGTCCACAGGCAGTGTCTGCAGGTCAAACCTGTGTAGAAGAGGGGGCATCTGGGACTAGGGGTTACAGTGTGGGGCACAGCCAGAGGTAGAGCACCACTGCTTCATCTGCCACAGGGCCAGCCATGGTTCTGGACACCTCTCCATGCTGGCCTGTGATGTCTTTCCTCTTCACTTATAATAAGGTCCAAGTACCTAAGTGGGGCCCATAGGACTTCTGTCTGCTTCTCCACCCTGTTTCTCCTACTTGCTTCCCTACACCAAAGCCAGATTCCATTTTCAGGATCCAAGGCACTGTGTTCCTCCTTCTAGGGCTAATGG